CACCGAAGTTTGTGGAGGAGACCAGCTATTTCAAAATGCTACGGGAAACGAAAGACAAGGCTGCTAAGCAGGTTAGAATCAATATTTTCCCAAAAGTATACTTTGAACGCGCGTCAGTTGAATTAGCGAAAACGAGGCAATGTTTGCTTGCTATAAATTTCCGATGGTAGAAGTTTAAAAGCAACATTTTTCAAATGCGAGACATTATATCCTGCTTTTGATAATAAACAACCAAATATTCGCAAATGCTTTGAGCGTTTATCGAGTATCATCTGTAACATTTGACTTCCCTCATCAGCGACTGGTTACAGGATCGGCGGCAGAGCGACAACTGAAGTGTTAATACAGTGTTCTGATATTTTTAAATACGTTCATTCACTGACTCAATAAATACTTGAGAATTCGAGCACTGATAAACTGGGTAACTTTTAAAGCTGATGCTCTACGATTATTCCTGCTCGAGGAATGAATCAGTATTTAACAAATGGGAGTTTTGTTTTAATTAACAGAAAGCGGATCAGCTTAAAGAGGCAGAGCAACTTGTAGGCAAGGAATCGCCAACCTCGCAACGCCGGGGAAAAATGCTTCAGAGAACAGCTGAAAATATCGAGAAAGAAGCGCTAGAGGAGTTTCAATCCACATTTAATGCACATTTAACACACCAAGCGGAAGTTACTTGTTATGGATATGCAGCGAGCTCAGATATACGGTTTACTCTGAAATCGTGAAACACGCTTAAAACGTTTTGATACCTGCGAGCAACTTAACCGAGGCTTCGGGCAATGGATGCTTTTGTCAACTGTCAACCAAAACCATGTTTGATAACAACAGCCCTTGTCATGCTTCAAATAACAACGAAGTGAGAACAAAGTTAACTCCACCGATACTGGCAGATGACAATTCGTTCTACTGATGATGTATTATTTAATACAGATTTTATCCAGGTTTGTGTAGCTAAATAAACAACTGAACTTATTTAGAGCTTGGAAACAGGTTATTGAACGACTAAATAGAGTTTTACAATTGTCAGCGAAACAGCAGAAGAAACATTATATTCTGAACGATCGATCGTTTTATGGCGCATTTTTGAAAGCAATAACGCACGTAGATTTACAAAGTACATAGGATAGAGATGGCAACTAGTTTCTGGGGCATATGAAGCGTAATCATTTTTTGTCTAAAACGCACAGAATCAATTGAAGAAATAGTCTTTTATATTATCTACTTCAGTCAAGGTAGTTACAAAGAATTAAGAAATACATCAGTTGTGGGGAAAACAACATCATAGCAATTAATTATTAAATACGACTGATGGCAGCTCTTGATTTCACGAAAACAGGAAGTTGAATTGAACAATACTCAAGATTTAGTTTGCATAATCAAGGCTGTACTCAGAAAGGGTTTTGAATTGAATCGGCTCAAGCCAGTACCTTCAAGCGGGCAATTCGTTTAAAGAAAAGGGAAACAAAACCGTCAAAACAGACAATAAAGAAATCGCCCGTTGTAAATATAACATTTTCTTCTCTTTACTACTTCAACGTAAACGAACTTCAAATGATATTTGATCCAGTTTGCCAAACACGGGTAAAAACAAGTGTGTTTTTTCAAACCTGACAATACAGGGTCTTCGCCCACACTAAAGTGAATTACCATTCCAACTTTCCGTCTGCTGACTATTAGCGATATTTTTCGCACGCAGTTGAACAGAACCTGTAAATATACACTTAATAGATAAGTCTGTATGTACAGTAACAATTTGATGTTAGAGGTTTTCACTTTAGTAGTTAAAAGTATAAATTGGTGATAAAATACCAAACTTGTGTATTTTTTGAGTTTCTCTTTTTTTTTTTTACCTCTCTTGGTATCACTATACCAAGGAAAAAATCATACATTTGATTTCTGCCGACCTTGTTCGCGCCATGGTCACGTGGCCTGTATTGAGTAAACAATTTGAAAAACATTGCGACGAACGGCCAATGGAAAGAGAACAACGTTAGAATTCAGAGAAAATCTTCGCATCTGAACGGTTGGGGACAAAAAAAGATTGCCTCCAAACAATATAATTTTCTCTGAAAATTCATAACGTTAGGCAAGAATATAAATTCTCAATTACGTGGCTTGCAACACGATAAAAATGTTGTCTTTCAGAAGTCAGACCTTCACTGAATTGTGATTCTCTCGGTTTAAAATCTCTTTTATATGCACATTCCAAGCCTTGGAGTAAAAAAGAAAGCTTACAATATTAACTTGTCGGCTTATATTAAATTTGCTATAAGTACATATATCACAGTCAACACAACACAAATGAACTGTCGAGGGAAGCAAGCAATGGCGTTTTCAAACGCACATGGGAACAAGATTAAAAGATCAAGGTCATTTTCGATTGGTCAATTCGTCCTTGAGATTACGATCAACTTCGTAGAAGAAGAAGAAGAAAAAAAACAGTCCCTGGAGAGAGAGAACTGAAAACTTTCGCGTTAAGTAACAGCTCGCCAAACCTGATTTAAAGATTACCGCGGCGTCTGCTTCGGAAATTGTTCTCCCCGCTAACAAGTGCAGAAGATCCGGGATCTGTCTTTTCCACCGCTATGTCCGACTCTATCTAAAGAGTCATCTACTTATTAACTCGTTACAAATGTCGCCTTTTTTCCTGTTAAATGTAATAAATTTCTAGTATAAAAAGACAATTTTAAATTTTACAAACTGAAATGAAACGCGCATTGAATGTATACATCGCCAGACACAAATACGACAGAAGGTTGGGAAAATAGGCCATGTTCATAAAATCGTGATCTTTCTGAAACCAGCTTGCAATGGAGTCTAGTGCGGGGTAATTTTCCAAAAGGACGTGGAAGAAATGCACCTGTCGTTAACGACAAGAAAGAACCCGTGTTCAATGTGTAGGCTGAAAAACTGGCATTTTAACCCTCCTGAAATAACACCTTGCAAAGCCTGTAAATTGAAACAGGGTCTTATTTGGAAAATACGTTTGCAGCGTATTGAGCATAAAGAACCTGGAATAAATCAGGAGATTTAGGGCAGGGTGTGAACTGTATTCCCTTAAAATGTTGTCTTAATTCAGTTTTCAGACATAATAAGTTTTTTATAAATAAAGACGGAGCACATCCATTTGGACAAGCAGTAAGCACCTTTTCCATTTAGAGACAACAGATATGGAAGAACATTTCTAGGCTGATCTTGCAAATCTAGCTACCTCTAAGAGGGTGTTTAATGTATTCCCCCACAACAGCTTCCGGTTCAAGCCAGTTCCAGGCTATTTCCAGGTATCGAAAATTAATCTGAACCCGAACAGCATGGTTGACACGTGTGAGGGGGATTTACACGCAGAAATCTCAAACCTTGTTCAACAGGCCACTTTCGATATATTAAAATTCAACTTGATAGTTAGGACTAGAAGACACAAACAAAAGAAATGAACAAACATGGTCATTCAATCTCCTTTGTGTCCTTTAAACCTCAGTGTCAAGCTGAATTTTAATATATCGTTAACGGTCTATTCTGAGCCAAGTGTATCAGGGTTTCAAATTTATTTTTTGAGCGCGCTATCTTTTTTCGTGTGTACGCACTGAGTACGAAACGACCCTGGACAAATTGGGCTTCTATTATCACAATGGCAAAATTATTTTAGCAAAGAAACAAATACAAAATAACAAAATTAATGATACAAAATAACACCATTTTATTTAATACGAGACGGAGTATTTCTTTAATTCATGACAATTTTAAGGATCAGAAGTATAATTTGAGGGAATACACACTTTTTGAAAGTAAGGGAGGAAACTGGAAAACCTGTTGTGCGGCTCAAACCACAGCGAGCGATCAGACTAATTAACACACTTAAGATAGCAAAAGTTCTTTCCACTCAGAGAGCATGTTAGTGTTCAAATCAAATAACTCTCTCCCTAAATATTAACTACAGATACAACAGAACCTCCACTAACAGCGACCTCTCTACAACGGCCACTTTTTTTCGTCCCCGCGGACGGTCCATACATTCGCTCTTATTCGTACCTCTCTAACACGACCACCTCTCCACAACGGCAACGGTCACTAAAGCGCGCCCCAAACTACCAAAATGGGAACTTTAAGATACGCTACGGCGAGGTGCTACCACGGCTACTTTGGCCGTGAGGGACTAGGCTGACAACGGTGTTTAACCCGCCAAACTCAAATGATTAAGATTTTACTGTACGGCAACGGTATGTGAACTCTCTACGTGTCTTAACAAAAATGACTACTTTCAAGGAAAACAGAGATTATTCTACTTTCAGAAGGAATGGGCTTGATTAATGACAATGATTTCCTTCTCCTGTATCCGTCTTACATCTCCCAGATCTCAGATTTGTCTTTTAGAACGTGATAGAACGGCTTGTAATTCCAATCACAAAACCAAATATAAACTCTGATATAAAAAAAGCTCGATTTCAACACGGATAGGTTGTTCGTGCAACGATTATGTGATAAACCCGAAAATACAAAACTTTTAATTATAATAAAATACATTTTGAACAGTAATAAAAAATTACAGCTCAGATTAGTACATACGAAGCTTTCTTATCTGCGGCTGTTCGGCCCGATACTAATATGACTGAATTGATCATCACGCGGCAGGTGTTAAAATCGTTCAAATTTTCTGTACAAATGACAAACAAACAATGATCTAGGAACTGATTTTTGTGATTGACAACTTTATTTTCAAACTAGGCTGTTCAAACAGTGAAAAAAGCGTTAAATTGAGAAGTAAACAGCAGGCTTACACTCACGTAGTGAAGAGTACGTGAAACCAGGCACTTCCCCGTAGTAGAAAGCATGGCTACGGCGGGAACGCCGTACCGGTACGCGCGTCATGACGTCACCGGAAGCGATCTTCACTATCTGCCGTCGTACTACAGCCTAGCCGTACCGTATCTTAAAGTCCTTAATAACCTCTCCACAACGGCCAGTTAATCAACGACTAACGATGGTGTTCACTAAACTTGATCCATACCGCGCGTCGTTAGTCTCAGTTTCTGTTTGGTTTCTGTTTTATTCGTATATTTTGATTGTGTTAGGTATTTCTCTGCTACAATCAGCAGTTTTTTTACTATAAAAATGTAGTACCCCCGAAAAAACAGGTGTCATATTACACCCCTACCTCTCCATAACGGCCACTTGTCCCCAAGGTGGCCGTTTTAGAGAGGTTTGACTGTAGCAGTTTCCCTTGTTTAAAAACGAAAATAGTACGCCTTCTTTTTATTTATCGTGTACACGTAGATAAGTTGATGTAACGAAAAGTTTCTATTGAAAGAGTATCCATTTCGTAAAGCGATAAAAATGCAACCTTCTAACTGCTGCGATTATGATCTATAACATGAAGAAATTTAGCCAGGCGTCTTACCAGGCCTGCTTATCTTTCAAGACCTTACTATATTTACAGTAGAAAAAGATAAGACATATTTCAATTTTTCTTTATAATTATTATTATTTATTTTGATCTACCCAGGCTTAATGGCTTTTTGATTACGTACTTGAACGAAAGCAGTGTCACTCGACGGCTCGTACCTCAGACATGCGCACTGATGGTTTTCTCGTACAAGTCTTTCTGTGCTTTGGCGAACTGCTGTGCTTTTTCATCGTCACGTGACTCAAGAACTAAAGGAAACAAAGCACATTTGATAGAAACGAAAACTTAATTTACTGAAAGAAGTTTGTAGTATACTAACTACATGAATGCGAGCTGCGGTGGCCCAGTCATGTGCTGGCTCGGGATCGAGTGATCTGGGTTTGGGCCTGGGTCAGGTTCATTGTGTTGTGTTCTTGGTTAAGAGACTAAACTCTTACTAGACTTAATGTTACCAAGGATTGTTAGGCTAACATGACAAATGCTAGGAGTAACCTGCCATAGACTAGCATCCCATCCACGGGGTGTACCAATACTCCAAGCTGCGTCATGGTGACAGAAATCGGTGGAGTTAAGGGCCAAGAGCTTTGAGCCAGCTGGGCTTAGGAGGCTTTACTTGAACTGTACATGACTCGAAATCTACCAGTCACCGTCAGCGCAACACTTCTTACTTGGACACCACTGATTTCAATTAGTCAGGTGGTAGGCTGTTATTCGTGGAGGGATATTTGGGGCTACGTAGTGGACAAATTTCGAAAATAATGGAATGAAATAACTTTCACTCCAAGCCAAGTCAACCAGAACTCTTAATTGCATTCTTTTTGAAAAATAAATCACGGATTTCACATTGGTATTTAAAAATGTAGCTTTACAAAGAAAAACGAATACGTTAGAGTACAAACATGCCGAAAGAGGAGAACGTTTTCAATCCTTTTAGGTTAAACAGATTTGCTAGCATTACAAACTTTAGGTTTTAAACAAGTACAATTTACACGACACGATACTCTATATATTATATATAAAGTCATACGTGAACAACACAGAGTATGCACTATGTACGAGTACTGTGCGGTACGATATCAAAACGCTGTCGCGTTGTGAATGACTACGTTGATTTCAAGTTCACTTATTGTTTCATATAATGCTGTAACTAAAATGGTTGCCGGCTCGGATAAATTTAGTCCAAACCAAACCTGAAATAATGATTTTTCTTCACCATCTACACATGGTTTTAAGAAACTTACGAGGCGGAAAGAGTTTGTACAACAAGGTGAGTAATTTCTATCAATAGCACGCGGTTTTAATGTGTTCGCACCCTCGACGGCGTTAAGGAAGAAACAGGTGTGTGTGAATTTTTATAAAGAGAGCTTCATTCTTACCTTCAAAGTAGTGGCCTTCAGGTTTGGGGTGAAAGATATTTCTTATCTCCTGAGGTACGTTTGCAAATCCTCCAGCTGCGACTTCTCGCAAACCGAGGATATTGTTCAAGTTGAAAAACACGTGACCAGCGAAATCGTCATTTGAAAACACGTCATAATCCATGACAGTCATATGCAAGCAGGCACCAGTCTCTTTCAACAGCTCCGGCTCAACATCACTGGAATAAAGGAAGAAATTGATTATAGGACACTTAAATGAAACGAACACAAAAAGAAATACAATCAGCTCAGTCACTCACAAATCAAACTGCTCGTCAAAAAGAGGGTACAGAGTATTCTTGATGATCTCTGTTTTCTTGACTTCATTGCCAAAGAACTCTTCTGGTAAAAGCTCCACAGTCACATACGGATCACACAATCCTGTAACACAACAGGAATAAACATACCTTAGCTATCTTAGGTAAACAGCTCTTCATGATGCATTTGGTCAATTTAAGGCGATTCCTTCTTGCGAGAAACAAGTGAACATCCGCGCCTTGAAAAATGCTTAGTTAATTATCACTTTGAGGTTGATAACGGCAAATGTACTGCCGAATTGAAATTTTAAAAAGCTGACTTTTGACGTTTCATGTTTTAGTTGCTAGTTAACTAAGCGTTTGATCTGCCACCGCCGCAGCATAACAGCTTCTTTGAAAACTAACCACCTTGTTCATTTGAGAAAGAGAATTATTATTCTGCAATATTTGAGACAACTAACAATACTCCTAGCAGTATTGCGATCGATTGTAGACATTTTGAAGAAATTTGAGACAATATTTGAGAAGTTACAGACAAAATACTCTTGACTCTGCATGGCAAGACGACGTAATGGCTGGACCATTATTATAATAAATAACACTTTTTTGAATTCACAACCACACTACTAATGCAATTCTTACATGACTGCTTACAAGACGTTACTTACGATACGAATTCTTGCCCCACGAACAAAATATATATCTAGAATACATAATTTACTCAGTGTCAGTCTTACGGTATGTGTATTTATGATTTCTACTCACCGTTTGTGTCCAGCGGTGGAAGATTCTTTGCATTCAACACTGTAAAAGAGCAACTATTTTTACTTTTTTCCTTACACAATTAACTCCCAAATATAATTACACTGCATAAATACCGTTCACATAGCACATTCCTCAACAAAAACTACTTCTTACAAACAAAAGATCATTATTCTTTAATTCGTATTCTTATTCTTAAAGCGGTTTTCAATTGAGTGCCGTAAAACCAAAGCCATACCAGTAACTTACCAATTAGACTACACAGCCAATCTAAAACCGCAGTAAAACCAAAACCAAAGTAATTGCTTGATTACTTTCGACGCTTAATTGAAAACCGTTCCATTCTTAGCATTACCTTCCACTTGAAGCTTCTGATTGTTAAAATCGTAGAAAACTTTGAATGTCACAGCTCCGTATTTCTCTTCGACAGTTTCCTTGCAAAGGTAAAAGAGAAAGCAACTTCAGAATCTCATAAATGCAAGGCATGTGCCAGTTGTGCCAAAGAAAATTTTAAAATTGATTCAGTACAATTTCCACAGGTGGCATTCTGATTGGTCGAGAAACTCGGATCATTTCCGCTATAATCAACCTTAAGAGAGTTGATTATGGCACTTCAGGGCGCGGTTGCTAAGCAAGGGAAATTTCCGTTTATTGTTAAGACATCACCTCAAAATCTGACACCTTCGTAGCACTGGGAATTAAGAACAGCCCTCAACCAAAATCTTTCAAGAAAAGGCTCTCAAGTGAACTACAACTGGCGAGTAATGATTATGTATTTACCCAACCGTCGACCGATCGAACGCTTACTTCTCGGCTTCAGACCGTAACTAAGAATTACAGACGACAATCACAATTGCCATAAAGTCAGCAAAGATGAAACAGAATAACTTGATGATTGTGTTGTTTTACAGTCGGTGTATCTTTTATGTATTTTGCAGCTTTAGAGTGGTTGATAGATTCGTTTGCAGTTGATGTAACTAAATACAGTACTACAGACGTGTAAAATCGTCTAGGTTTTTCCATGCTTTGCCTCGTTGTTCTTGAGTACCTGATATTCACCTCTGCAAATTATACTAAGACATTATTCGCCACAGGCTCAGTGCATCTCGGCGAATGTTCCTCTCGACTTAGTCTTCCGCGAGGAATACAGTTGCGGAGAGTCACTTCGCCTTCAGCGAATAATCCAGTGATAAATATTAAGAAACTAGATCTGTGGGATTTAACTAAACATGCACGGTCACACGATCATACTACATCGAGATCGAACGACTAGGTGAAAATTAGGTATATGAAGAGATCATTACTAAAGGAAGAATGAATGCATTTGCTAATTCTGATTAAATAACATCATCATGGACATTGTAGCTAATCATATCATCCATCTAGGCAAGGCCACATATATTCATTAACATGTACCTGTTCCTCGCACTTCTCAGCTAAGTAGAGCTGGATTAATTCTGTTGTAGACAACTTGCGCATGTTGAGAGTCTCAACCAAAGTCTAGGAAATAACAACCAATCGATCAGGATAAGTCGAATTAGTTTGGTAGCGTCGAGATGTATAGTATTTGTCAGTTATCGTTTTCACTGAAACTTTTCAAAATAAAATAAATAAACATCGCCCACTTGTTTCCATTTTCAGAGTTCATAAAATACCTTATTACATGAAATTTTCGCGACACGTTAATTTCGAGATTTAAAAAAAATCGCGAAATTAAAGTGACGCGAACAAGTGTCGCGAACATAACATGATGCATAAATTAAGTGACTTACATTATGTTACTGTTGACTTATCGTTCCGCCGTTGTGTTTTTGTTAATTTTGACGTTATTGTACCTTTGATAATGTCAGTTTACTAAATTCAAGGACACGTTGAAGTAACATTGCCAAGGAAATAATTTTTGTGGCACTCAAAACGCGAAGTTAAAGTGATTCAAAATACAAAATACGCGCACCTCAAAATCGCGAAATAAACGTGTCGCGAAAATTTCATGTAATAAGGTACCTGATTCAATAAAGTGGAACCCCGCTCTACGGACACCCCCAAAATCTTGTAGTCATGAGATCGACACCAGAATTATGAAAACAAAATCTTTCTACACGCTAATGCGATGTTGTTTAAGTCACGGACTTCAGTATATTTTGCCGCTTGTGAAACTGACAAGGGAACATAAATTTTGGTGCGAAACCTTTCACTTTTTGTAAACCAGTTTTGGTGAAGTTGGCTTCCTTAATAAAGGTTTTGTCTGCCTGCTGTCGGTGTTGGGTTTTAAATCAAAAAAATGAGAAAATAATTCTGGGAGGCCGTTTGACACGGACACCCGGACAATATAGATACTTTTGCTGTCTCCTTAACCGGGTTCCACTTTAACTTTTCCTCTTTAATTTAACGGACATAAAACGTCAAAGAGTCTGATATAATGTCTGGTGAAGTTACTGTAATCACTAGTCCAAAGCTCTTTTCCCAAAATATCTTTAAAATAACCATGTTACGCGTTCGGTTACTTGTTTTCATTCTTAAAGAAGCCGCTAGATCTTGTTGCCAAAGACGCAGCCTAGTTCGCGTTCAGTCTTTCGAAAACTGATTTTTCATTCTCGGAAGTTTTAATGACAAAGATAATGGTTATACGTGATTGATCGCTGTACGCTGAGCAACCTGACTTTCAAATGTCCTACGAACCTTGTAATGTCCCACTTGAAGACGTTCCAAAGGCAACCCAACTCCATCGGCGTGAAAGAAACTCTGCACTATCTACAAACCAAAACAAAACGCTGCAATCAGTAACGTTGGACAAAGAAAGATTGTTATTTTTTATCCTTCACTCCAAAATTTATATTGAATTTGCACAGGACTCAACTAGAAGTACAGGGGTTGAATGCATTGCTGCTCACTAGAGAGGTTTAGTCTTATACTTAAGAAAGCCCAGTTGTCGTGACTTCACAAAGCTCTGAAGTAGCTGAGGCGTTTTCTTGCAATCGAACCACTCTTTGCCTAACGGTAAATGTTCTGTTCAAATGTCTTGTCACGATAAGAACAAACTAACTACATGTAACCTCAAGTGCTTCGAATTGTCTTTGGTAGAAGGCTGCGGTTCTCTGAAAGAAGAAAGAGAAAAAGCGGTTGTAACAATATGTAGGAATTTAAGAACAAAAGAACAACACAAAAAGTAAAATAAAATAATTAAACGAATAATTGAAAACTGTACCCCTGTGTTGGTTTTTAGTCCATTTGTGAAGTTCTCCATCACTATTTCCCAAATGTAAAGAAGAATTCTGTGAATGAAGAACACGAATCATTACTACAATTTTTGTTACAGATGAAAGATGAGTTTTAAAGTTAAGAACGCGTTCTGTTTAATTTTACAACGAGCACGCATTCTGTTTGATATAAAGTCTTCCCTCCTCTGGCCGGATATATTGTGATTACAGGTTGTAAGACGCAGCCCTACGCAGTCTTGACTACATGGGCTGTGCAGGACCAGTTGTTCGAAGACTGGATCACGCTATCCACCGGATGAATCGTTATCCCGTGGATAAGTGTTAACAACCCTATCCGCTGGATAGTGATTTGTCGGTGGATATCGTAATCCACCTTTCAAATCCATGTTCTGGCCGGACATCAACCTTCCATACGATTTATTGCTGAAAAAATAACTTACACATGTCAACTTTCAATTTGTACAATGGCGGTTGATTTATGTAAGCAGTTCTGATCAACGTACCTTTGAAATACAGATTTGACAACACTTGTGTTGAGTACCATTAAGTCATCATCCAGGTACTGAAGCAAGCCACCCACCACCTGACAAGAATCACATCAAAATCTGTAAAAGTTATTAACGATGCCATGTCACAATTCAGTTATTACTGTATTAACTACCTTAAAATGAAAGTAAACTTCAAAATTGTAATTTACCGAAGCGGAAAAATAAAAGAGTTACCAATAAACTAAGAAGAACTACAACAATGGCTACAAATGAGGGGGAATAAAATGGATCGCAGAAAACAAACTTGAAAACTTAGACTAAATTTTAAAGATGTGTCATCCACGACATAGACCTGTAACTAAAGTCTAGTGACAAAAGAGACAAGAACCCGAGCAAAACGGATTGTTGTGGACACATTTTGAAGTGCAATGTGATGACGCGTATCGCTGTCGATAAGAGTACAGACCACGCTAAACCACATTCGATTTGTTAATTAGATGACAGAAGCTTGGTATTGTTTAACTTATTGACCGTTTTAGAAGACGAACTGGATTGCTTAGCTTTCGTTTCATCGCGGTCATTATAAATCTCCAAAATCAAATTCTTTCTTGCCCAAGCAGCTCTGAATGACTAAAACAGTTTAGCTTGGTTTTAGTTTCGTGGCACAATATTTCAAGAGTAAGACTTACATCTTCAGCTGGTATGTTGTCCGAGGCACAGGAAATTTGAAAAAAAAACCTCTTGATGTCAACACCCATCTGAAGAGACGAAAATAGAAATTTGGTTGAAGAAAGAGCTTTACATATTCTAAACGCAGTCTTAATTCACTCAAAATGGCAAAGTCTGCAGCGAGGAACAGAAGATTTAAAGTTGTAATTACCACTAAATAAAAGAAACACATGTCGAGGAGAAGAAAGGCAATACTGCATGACACTGACTTGAACAAAACGACGAAAGTACGAAAAACATAACCCATGGTGAGTTTGAAAGATGTTCACCAATGGCAAAATCTTTATAAAGGATGTAACCTAACTGGCATATGAACTAAAACTCAAACTAGTCACTGCTCCTTCATAACACAAATACACTAAAAGTCAGAGTAAAACAAACCCGCTGTCCAATGTGCTCGATGGCGTCCGCTATCTTGTTGAGCATGTCCTCGTCTGAACTGGACAGCATGTTTTCAAGCGCGGTGCGCGCATGTTTCCCGCCTCTTTCACCGTGTGCCGCCATCATGGCATTAATGACGTCTTCCCAGCCCAGATTCTCCGGAAGTTTCGACAACCACAGCCTCATGTATTCAATGTCATTCAGCGTAACACATAACTAGTTGAAGAAGGTCATGGAAAACAGTAAAAAAGCGTCAGTTACACACAAAAACACATGTAAACAAAGCAATCTACGCAAAGGGTTTCTGTAGGACTAGTTTTCTCGAGATGTTTTGCCTGTAGGAATTAATAGGCTCAATTGAAATCCTCGCATTGTCCAAAAGGGGATTGATCTAGTTTGACTTGTGAAGTCAACTGACACCTAGAACAGTTTTAAGCCAGTAACCATTATAACGAGCTCTGAATTAGAAAACATGATATATGGTCTATTAACCAAGCGAAAGGTCAAGATCTTTATTTTAGCAGTCGAGGTCCAAAAACGATCGAGGGCAATATCTAACCATTTTAGCCGAACGAACTCGTCAATAAAGGATTTATCATAAGGCATACAGGACAACATTTTCTTGCAAGAAACAGCTCACAAAGTCTGAGCGAGCAAGACAGCCCTATCTTGCTGACTCGGGTATCCAATCACAGTGCCAGCGGATTTGGTTAATCGTGACCACGACAAGCGAGTGATTACACAGGACCAAGTGAATCTTGTTGACAGAGTGAGGGAATTCTGAGACATTATAAACGGAAACAAAGTTTATCAAAAAACGTTTGATCGTTTTCTCGTAGCTACCTGTTCACTGACGTCAAACTGAGATGGAGCCTGGTCGTAATAGTTATTTTTAATCATCTTTTCGAACAGAAGATCAGCGTAATACGACGCACTGCTGCAAATTTCCTATAAAAGAAGACAAAACAATACCAGGTATGATGCGTACTGATGAAAAACTAACACTTTGTGCATCATTTTAATGGAGAACTCACGAAAAAAAAAAAACCCACGGCTTTCCTTGATCATTAAAAAAAGGCTTGAATATATTGAAGTGTTTAGTTGACTTAAATATATCCGATCTGTAGATTTTTTGTTTACTGAATTTTCGGTGGCCTCTGTCCACCTTCATCAGACTGATTGAAGGTGGACAGGTGAAGGTACACAGATAAAGGTGGACAGATACCACCGAAAATTCAGTGAACAAAAAAACCCATGGATCGGATATATTTAAGTCAAATAATCAAAGTCTACCGATCGCAACAATCAAAGTATCTTGAAATGTGAACACATCTAACTGACCTGCTGTAAGCACTGTACTTTTTCCCTGAATCTTTAATAGTATTTTCTTGGTTATTTTGGTAATATCACATAACAATGAAAGAGAGATCTTAAGTGGCTGGCTTTGTACGTACATCGGTAATTTGCATGACAAACACATATGATCCAGATGGGTCAGGCCAATCTATCTTCTTCCAGAATTCTCTGATCTAATTAGACAGAAAAAAAAGTTATAAAAGTGTTGCAATATCTAGCCAGTCTTTTATAATGTGTGTCCATCTATCAGTCAATCATTCAGTCCGCCCGTCCGTCTGTCCCGCCAGTCCATCCGTCCGTCAGTTAGACAAAGATCCTAGGCTTATTATACCTACCTGATGAAAACAACCCACTGCATCAATGGCTGACGTGGAGTGGCTCACACTTGCATCAATCCTCAAAATCTGCAACAGCAAAAAAGCCAGTTCTATAATCGTTTTAACGTAGAAGCCCAGTTAGTGATGTCATACCAAGTTTAACAACTCACTTCATCGAATGCGTCTTGACAAAAAAATGAAAACAAAAAAATGACAATTAAGGATGAAACCCAACAAGTGTTATAAATTTGTACGATATAACTCTACAAAGCTACGTTGCACTACCTTGTCAATTTCAACGGCTTTTCGTATTCGCTCTTTGGCTTTGACTTGTGCAATATCGAGCCACCGTATAACGGACTGTTTGAACCAGGTGTGATAGTCATCAAGAGCATACACACGATCGGGCCTAAAACGCAGATGAAACTATCACTAAATAGAAAAAGCTTTCACACGCGAACGCACTTACAATGGAGGCTGAACAAATACATTAAATCAGATAAATGGATTTTTCAATTAGTTGAACTTAAGCATTTCACTTCAGTCATTTGGTTGGTTTTTCTTTGTAGAATATAAACTTTGAAGGTTCTTTTCTACATTTCAATGGTTCTTACTTTGCTTCACCGATGCTCCGATAGCTAATAACTTCCTTAACAGCCAAGTACAATGAAAATAGCTTTTCCCCAACGATATCAGCTCCACCTTCTTGTTTAAGACGCTTGTTTATATTCCTCATGGTGTTGTGGACATCAGACGCAAGCTGCACACAACAGAAAGTAGATAAGTTATAAGTTATCTACTTCAAAACATCAACAACGTTCTACAGAAACACACTGACGTTTGCTTTCAACTGATGTGTTGGATCAACTATGGAGAGATCCGAAAAGCAGGAAATATGTTTACTATGGCTCCGGGAACTATAGGAAAGATACCGAAGTGCTCATTATAAACAGTGAATGTCAGGAACCCATGTTTACTCCTTGATTAAGCTTGCAGAACTTACCATTAGTTCCAGCTGATTGTAAACCGTAGTAAAATACTTCACGTCCGTTCTGAAAAACAATAGGCAACCAAACGTTACCTCCTCTCAAATGTTTTGATTTTCTTACATTCTGAGCCTTACCCGACTGAAAAATAAATTCAGTCTCTCCATATTTTGATTGCTGGAATATTGTGTACAGGGAAATGAGAGAAGCCTTCAAATACTCACACTGAGAAGATCTTTCTATAACAGGTTTTCGCTTGAAACATGTCGGTAACCAACGCGTCAGCAACTTCCACCATAGCTGATAACATGGCTTCTACACTCTGTGGCACACACACAAATAACAGCAAGGAAATAACACATCTAATCGAGTGACAATGAATAAATAAACACAATAAAGGAATGACAGAAAGAAGGAGGGAATGAAGGAAGTTAGGAAGGAACATTTAAACTATTCCCGTTGCCCAATAAACAACATGGCAACGCAAAAGGCAAAACAAACAAACAAACAAACACTGGAATGAGATTGGATAAAAGTGTAAGAGCATTCTATGAAACAAACCTTTGTTTGAGGCTCCTTCCAAGCAAATACCTTCTTGTACCAAGCGAGGGCTGACTCCTTTGCAATAAAACACGAACCTTTGGTTACCACGAGTAACCCAATTCAGTGTAAATTGGTTAAAACACTTCAGCGTTACTAAACTACAAGCAGGATCTCGGCGGGTAGAGGGTGCGGACAAATGTAAGATCTCTTCGAACTTTACCGCGTTCGGAGAAACGTCTAAGGAAACCACATCAATTTGAAAGATGGAAAGCGATCAGGACTGCTGCATGTACTGGTTCATGTACTGGTTCGCTTCAGAAACAACTGAACTACTCATTCAGGGAGTAGCTTTCAAAACATACCTTGAGAAGATTTGACATTTGAATATTCAAAGGTTCTTTTATTGAATCGCTGAACACTTCAAGCTTGTACACATTTGCCAGACACCTTGAAAACACGAGTTTCTAATTAACAATGACCGCATGGCTGCTATTGATTTGAGTCAGTATAATAACTATCCACACACCCACCCTGTTAGGATCATTTATCATTCGCTTGAAACCAAACCAAAGAAGTGCAATTACTGAGAATTGTACAATCTAGTAGCCTGTGTTTCCCTTACAAAGGAAATAGCCGACGTGTGTGCTAGCTAACAATATCTAAATGCATTAGTCGAATTCCCTCTCATACATCATATCAAATAGAATTTTAGGGATGCAGAAGCTAAGTCAGTACGTAATAAATCAGCCATCGGTTAAGTAACATTGTCAAAAAAAAAAAAATTAGACAGACTAAGTTGAGAACAGACCTTACATTTTGTCACAGGCTCTTAGACTTCTTAAAATAAAAACAAAATAAAACAATCACACAAACAACTAAACAGGGAGAAAACTAGGTTGGTATGGTAAAGGTATAACTCACTCTAGAAGGTTAATGAGTCGACCAAGCTTTCCTTTATCTGTGGCAGGGAATATGTCTCGATATTTGATCATTAACCTCCAGCAGTTATCAGTGAATTTCTTCAAGGACCTAACTAGCGCGTGTTCCTGAAAATAAACAGACCAAACTCAGTCATACAAAATCATAAATTCAAGCACATGTACCATGCTGTGAAAAAAGCAATTTTAAAAATAATCCAGGTTTAATAGTTACCAGATATTTAACAGAACCAATTGGTTGAAGTTCACAATGACGGTAGAATAATCCCTATCCAGGGACGCTTTTCAATTAGTCCAAAATTTCGGAGATTTCGGTTCAGAGGAAAAAAGTAAAGGTGTTTTCAATTCGCCCCACTGGAAAATTCCTGGTAAAAGCGGAACTTTTAAGTCTGTCAAAGTCAAAAGTTCCTCTTTTTCAAGAAATCTCGAGTGGGGCGAACCATGTAGTCCTAATTTTACGCAGGGCCCCTTTAGATACCAGCCTATGGCTGATGGGGCTACCCTGCCTAAATAAAGATGACTTGACTTGACTTGACTTGACTTGAGGGGCTGAGTATTTTCCCCTGAACCGAAATTTCTGGAATTCTTGACGAAACGGAAAAAAGCCAAGCTTTCAGCAGCGTGCATGTAGTCTATTTAAAGAATGGGAATGTTTAGATGCTTGTCTTTGCAGGTGTGTTAATCATCAACGTGTTTGATAGTGTATTGTTGTACCTCTCTTTGGCTGAGAGCTCCAGTTTTCCACTTTTGTTCAAGGGTCCATAGCAGTAGGTTTAACGAGCTGTATTTCATTGGCTCCAGCCAGTGGTGGTGACTGAACAGCATCCAGCGACTGAAAAAGAAAATCACATTAGAGTCCATATGCAAAACAAACGCAGTTCAAAGGCTGTGTTTCGGGATAGCAAATAGTTTTCAGTAAACAACTTACTCCGTGGAAAAAATTGTTTAGTATTATGGGCGTTGTACTCATCTGTTTCGTTTTCTCGTAAGACTCGATCGAATATTACAACAATAGAAGGTATTTTGAATTATGTTTAGAGCTTCCAGCGTCCCAGGAAGAGATAACGCATGATTCTTTACACATAGCGATAATCCAATAACCGATCGCAGTAATGCATACTGTACTAACACTACAGCAGAATAAAAACTGATAAGTAAAATAACAATCTTGCCAACCTTCGCTCTGGCGCACACTCTCCCCTCCCCCTCTCCCGCACCCCCTCCTGGTCGCTACCCTCTCCTCGACCTGGTTTAGTCAACAGAATTAAAAATCTACTTACATACTAGCCTGCTGAAGATCGTTCAGTTCATTCTGTAAAGCATGCTGATGAAGAATGAATTCAGCTTGAGGACACAGCTCGCTTGAACTTCTTTTAGTGTCACTTTCCTGAAAAAAAAGGCGACAATTTGCATTTTACAGGGTCAGAACAAAGCGGAACACCCCTCCCCCCTCCCCATACAGTGCAGGCACGTTACACCACACCAATTCACAGAACAAATAGTACATGTAAAACACAAAACACCAGCAACGCATACCTGACAATGTTCGGTTCCATATTTGATAAATTCTCTTAAAAACGCACCATGCATATCTAAGGCTGTTGGATATAAATGCTGTATCTCATATGGAATTTCTGGCTTCTGGAAAAAAAAGAAAAGAAGAAACTTTGAATTCTTTTGTAATTGCTTCCCGGCCCCTGAGTAACAGAATAGCTAATTAGAGAATTCGTTCATGCTTTTAGCTGTGCGTATATCGAGTTATGGATGCACGCGGGAAGTTTGGAGAGTACGATCTTCTCTCCAAACTTCCCAAGTACATCCATAACTCGATATACGCACAGCTAAAAGCATGAACGAATTCTTTTATAACATAGCGACAACAACTTGGACGCTAAAACATGTCTCATTTGTTAATGTCTACAGAGTTCTCACAATGCACGGTGAAGGAAAACAACGGATCCTATTGCCAGGTTAAAAACACGTCACAATCAGTTGAGCGACAGTTGAACGAAAGCGCTTCGTCTGGTTTCTAAAATTGTCAATGAAAATTCGCTTACGTAAGCAAACAAAGTTAAAAATACTCAAGTGAAAAATATAGGCAAAAGCCAAAATACTCAAGGTTTAGTAAACGTTATAAGCCCCGGCCAAACGATCGCAACATTTCAACGCAACATATCGCAACATTGTTGAGTGCAACATGCTGCGCGCGTTTGGCCACCCTTTTGTGACATGTTGAGTGTTGCAAATCGAACTGGTGCGCATGCTCTGGCGCAACACTGTTGCACGAACCTGGCCAAACGAGTACAACATCATGCAACATCCACAAGTTTGACCATTTTCAAACTTGAGCCAACAACACCCAACATGTCGCAACACATCGCAACATGGTGGCCAAACGCGCGCAACATGTTGCGCCCAACAATGTGGCGATATGCTGCGTTGAAATGTTGCGATCGTTTGGCCTGGGCTTTAGCTTGGCAAAAGTCAAAGGCTCGAAGGTTGGTTTGGATTGTTCAGAATACTGTTCACATTGCCAACACTTTAACAAAAGGAACTCGCAGCTAAACTCAACGGAAATCTTGCAGCTAAAATCACGCACGGCATGTTATTTACGCAAGGCCTAGCGTATAGAGAGATTTTTACCTCGATGGCTCAATAGGAATTAGGTAGGACTAGGGCGCGCGCAATGTTATATAATACGGTATTGACCATAATCCAACGGTACATCCATAATATTTTGTTTTATAAGGTACGCACTTAACGCAATTTTTCACTATGTTGTTGTAAATGCCTGGTCATATCAGCGAACTCCTAATGCGCAAAATTATTAAACAACGCTTTTTTTGTAAATATATAACAATTGAGAGCGGAGACTGAACCAAAACCATAAGAAATCTTCAGATTGGTCAATCACAACGGACGCAGAAAAGCCAGTGAACCAATCAAAACTCGAACCAAAAACAGTCAGCCGACTGTAGCCGACATGAAGCACGGGAAAAAGTGTAGGAGTATGAGAGAGTCGCGATCGATTTGGATTTTACTTCTTATTGGATGACAAATTAAACGAATCACAAAGGGTAGTAAATAAATAAATAAATAAATAAATGAATAATAAATAAATAAATAAATCACTTTATTTACGTGAAATGCAAATCCAGAGCAAAAGCGAATTTATTTCGACAGTCAAAAGAAAAGCGTTCTTAACCACGTTCCCGTAAGATTACCTTTCCAGTTGTTAGGGTAATTTTAAGGTGACAGTCACCATCTACTCGTGATTTTGAAGAGCGTCCTTCAAGTTTAAACCACTTGTCAATGCCACCGGATGGAATATCCTGAAAGAAAAAAAACCGGAAGCACTTATAAGCTCCGTTTTCGAGCCAACGCCTAAACGAAGGTAGACGAATATTAAAGCTGTGTAAAAGGTGCAAGTTAGAAAAGCAGGGTGAAGAACTGAGCACATTCGAATTTAGTCAACAACCACAGACTGGCCCTCAGGGCGACAACTTAGTCTCTTTAAAAGCGAGAAATGCCTTATTTTCATTATACAAGGTAGAAAGTGAAGTGTGAATTTTGCAGGACTTCCAGCGAGCGCCACGAAGTTGACTGTGTGTGCCGACCTTTGTTTCCATCAATGAACTTTCCAAAAACTAAACTTCTGTTGGCAAACTATCACATCAAGAGAAATTGAAAGAGACTGCACATTTAGGTCCTTGTACAATATGAATATTGAATAATATATTTGCCATACTAAAACATCAAATAACCAAGAATTGTTTCGCAACACACAGTGTGCTTGAACACTAGCCGCTGATCGGGAAGCGAGCCCGCGCACTTCTCCCCAGTCTCCTCTCGAGGAGGAACGTGGACCGGACTCGAGAGCGCGGCGGAAATAGAGCCTTACCACACAGTCATGGAGAAAGATCTCTGCACATGACGCAGCAATAAAAATGTTTTTAAGACATTTTCGTCCAGTTTTTCAATAGCTGTGCTTGGTGCGTAACTTCATTAAAGATCAAGTGCTTTACTGGGTACCTTAACCGGTATTTCGATGTATCCAAGAAAATCATCAATATTATCATCCGGACTTGATTTTCTTGCAGACTGCATAACATCTTTGAAAAATCTAAACAACCAAGTAGATAAAAAACAACCAATAATTAGATTATGAGTTCACGTTTTATCGCATGATAGTTGATGAGGCAAAAAAAAAAAGAGTCAAAAGCGGAAACGACATTTCTATATTTACAGTCCGATTAGTATAAACAAGACGGCCCGCCAATTTCCGTACAAATTAATGAATGAAAACCTCAGATATCAACTGTAGATTTTCGACAACATATAATTAAAAAACAATAATGTTGTGACCATTTTTAACCGTTTTAATCCTCAAACACAGTTTGCCAATTTACAAAGAATTTGGTTGCAGTAATTACAGCGCGCGTTGTAACTGAGAAATAAAACAGAGTGCAATCATTGGGTGATTTTAGTTGCTGGCCCTCTCAGCTGTCCTAGTCATATACTGGCAAATACTATGTACCTTCCCATTCCAGAGATTCCTTTTATTTTGGAAATTTTTCTGTCTTCTTCCTTAAGTAACGCCTTGTCATCACAGTCCCTTAAATTAACAAGTGAAGTTGTTAACCCTAACTATCAAACTTGCATGCGAGTTTAATAATAGTCAATTTATCTTTTCCATTGTCATTATTCCCTATTAATAATTTCAGAAGTGTAACATAGCTCACATGTAAAATAGTTCATAAATGGTTTGTTCTGATACAGACTGTCTGCCAGTCAGAACTATGACTATTTGTGTGTTCATTCTTAAAACATGAAACATGTGTCCCATCGTACAATTTCCTGAAAGCATTTTAAAGGCAACGTTGTCATATCAGTGACAACAAATCAAACTCCTTAATACAGCTTTGTTTGTTTTACATTGGTATACCTTTCAAGCAACAAGAATGGTGGAACCCAAAACGTTTCACCACTTAAACATACTATTAACGCTCGTATTTCCTTTTGTCCCATCAGAGACAGAAGAAACAGTATAGCAAGATTTATCTGTTCTTATTTGCAAATTAGTCGATGAACGTGGCAAAACAAAGTACAAAATGTCTGTAATACTGACCAGATGTCGAGGTGAAATCTTTCTGTTTGAAAGTTACTAACATTCCTGAAATAAAGAAAAAGAGTAATATACATTTGAAAGAGGACGTTTAAAAGTGATGGACATTATAAAGACTACAAATGACAAATAGTCATTAGTCATAATATGATTATTTCTCATCCCTAAAATGCATTGTGCACACCTCTTAAGGCGGGGTCACCCGGGACAACTTGCAATGACAACTTCTCAAACTCATTAATAATTCATCAAGTTGAAACAAAGGAAATCATGACCGTGACGGTGTTTGGATATCTGATCTTAATTAGCATAGATTTTTACGATTTTAATTCTCCGTTTTCTCCTTAGTTTTAGTCTCGATTGAGAAGATATATCAARCACTCAAGACAGTGTTTGACCACATTTCCAAACACCTCGAAGTTCGTCAAAAATACTCCGCTGCGCGTCGTATTTTCAACTCTCTTCTCGGAGTTTGGAAATGTGGTCAAACACGGTCTTTCGTGTTTGATATATTACTTCTCAATGTTGCGCGTTGATGTTACACGAGAGGATTTTTGAAGCAACATTGTAAATCCGGGCGACAATGTTGCAGGTTTTTGGATCGCTTTCAAAAACCTGCAACATGTTGCTGCAACGAAATGTTGCGTTAAAAGTCGCCCAGTGCGCCACGTAATGTTGCCTTGAAAAAAAAAATCGGTGTTAAAGATCGTCTCGTGTAAAATTACCTTACATATATCCAACATGAACTACAATGTACATGCACCTATATAGGCCAAACTAATGTGAGAATATACTTTACTCATTAAGACACGGATCCACTTGGAACTTTATTACTTTGTTATGCACTGTAACGACAATTCATTGGCTTACATTGTGAATGTTTCATTCCAAACCGGGTCAAGAGTGTCTTCCTTTACTTGTGTCATGTGAATTGACTCTCCGTCAAGAACATCTCTGACTGTGCTTCTAGATTTCTTGCGACAAACCTTGATTTTTTTCGTCTTTTCATCTTCATTTTCCTCTGTCATTAATCCCAACATGCAGTAGGGATCACTCAATCCTGAAAGAAAGGAAGATTGAATCAAATTACACAGTGTAGCAATATTTGCTCCATGCCATGAACAGTGTGCAATTTACAATGTTCAAGTTCTGATTTCCACTACTCGTCTCCCACTTACTGTACCTATGATACTCCTAGGCTTTCATTAAATAATTGTTTTATTGCCACAGTAATTAAGACAAACACTAAAGCAAATTTTACAATAACTGTCTAATTTCTCGCGCGCTGATTGGCTCATTCTTATCATCAATAAGAGTACAGACGGATAAAACTGATTTTAATTTATGCAAGCTTTCAAGTTCAACTCTCAGCTGTCAAACTGTCAACTTTTTAACCACTAAGATTTACATCTTAACCAATAAGTTTTACATAATTACCATTTGCATCTTTTGCCTCCAGATGTCTGGCTTCAATAACTGAAAAATAACCAAATAAATTGGGTTGAATATTTGACCTCTCAAATGTAAAAACTAACACTCTAAAATCTTACCTGTCCAGCAATATCTAATTCTGAAATGCTTCAATAAAAAAAGAAAACTTTTTGGCGATTGTGTACAGAAATAAAAATACATCACAAGTAGAATATCAACGATGTTCTGAAGTACAATGACAGAGTCTTTTGTAACCTATGTGAATAATAAGATTAATAATCGTTCCATACTTAACTAGTAGTAATCGTAGATTAAAGAGAGCGTTCGAGTTTAAATAGGTTTGGTATGTTAAAAAAGCAAAAATTCTAGGGACAGCATTTTGTGCCTAAGCTGTTAGGTAGGCGTGAAATTGGTCTCCCTTCAGCAGGGGCAAAAACAAATGAATTGATCGCAAAGCACGTGCATACGAGAGGGTTTGTTCTCGTTTACACGTGTATTATGTAATATTAGTTACAACCGGTCAGTAAAAACCACGGACTACAGTCGGTAGGCCGCATTTAGTCCGCAGTCCGCGTTTTATACCTAAGTCCGTGTTTTATACTCAGTCCCTAGTCCGCAGTCCATGTTGTCAGATACTGACCATGTATTAAAATCGACACAAACGTTGCTTGTTCCGTCAGTATGCGAGACGACGTGCTTTTATTACCAAAACTAGGACAATTATTTTGTTTACGAACACGACTTTGAATCGCCTTGGCTTTGGGGTAACAGCTACAGGGCATTTTCACTTCCGAAACAATGAAACGGAGAACATTTTGGTGTACCAAAGCAATCCCGTGGGATCTTTTCATATGCTAACACTTTCGTTGGGTTTATGCTACATATTTTGTGCACAGAAATCTGGGCCAGCGAAGTGAAACGACACATTTCTTCCTTTGATTTTGGTCGAAGAGAAGAGGGTACACAACACGCAGCCAAACTACGGTTTTCTGTTCGTACAAAAAGTCGTAGACATTTCGTGAAGACATGCCTGCAAGGTTTTTAAATGCCATTAACACTGACTTCGAACTTTAAATAAACAACTTATCCGCTACAGTCTACAATAAGCTGCCTCGACACTCGTAAGTCCGCAATATTGCACAACACTCGAAAGAAAGCACATGGACGAACATGGAGATGACGTCATTCGCCCCTGAAGAATTTTTTGGGGGGGTCAAACTGGTGTCAACAGAAAGATACATACACAGATCTCGAATTTTTCTGCATTACCCGATTAGGACTGCGTTCTCTCGAACGCAATGAAGATTGAAAAACAAAGATTTCCAACTTGTTTCAGAAGAAAATCTATAGACAATGTTATGGTTTCCAAACAATTTTCAACATTTCAAATGATTACTGAAGACTTCAAAAGGTTTCTTAAGACCATTATCGTATGCAAAACTGTGCATTCCAATATACTTAAACTAGTAATAGTTATCACTAAAGCTGCCCCCGCTTTCTCTTATTTCTGCTGATTGAAAACAATAACAATGAACATTATTGCATGAACTAAAAATGTTTTTTTTTTGTAAGCTATATCACTCATACTGTTCTAGTAACCTAACTAAACCAACACATGTTTAACTCATTCTATCACATGATATTCTTTACATAATACTGTCACGAAGCATTGGTCTCAAAAAGTACTTTCTGGAAAAAAAAACAGGTTGCCTTCATGGAAACTAATTTTTCTTTGACAAAACTTTCACTCAGTAGAACTTAATAGGGGAAAAAGGTTGAAAAATTATAGCAAAACAAAACATTATGTCAAACTACCCTGCTGTTCCAATTTGATGCTGAAACAAACCATTTGTCTTGATATACGAGCAAACGTATCTCGAAAGCAGAACAGAAGTCAAGATTTTTTCCGAGACGTAAACAGAACGAGGTATCGCGTTACAGCCACCATATATGCAAACGAAAACGCTGCAAAACATTTACATTTGGATCCCTGCAAAGTCACCAAGCCGTCATATGAGTTCTTATAACGCCACGTAAGATTGCTCAATACAAATAAGCGATCCGAATAAACGAGATGCCAAAGGTAAAACTTGCGATCAGTAGGGTATTTAGCTATTTAGTTGCAATATTGAACCACACCGGCCTCGAATTTCTAGTATACTTCAGAATTTCTTACGATACCTTCTGACTTGTTTTTCTCCCAAAATCCATCTTCAGGATCTTTGAAACCGTTTTCAATTTGTTCTGGATCAGAATCTCGGTCATTTCGAAGCGTCTTCATTTGATCGCGCTAAAATCGTCATGCAGGCCATATTGTAATTGGAGTGTCTTTTTGGTCTTTTTGACCTTGAAATGCTGCTCGAAGATGGCGAAACGCGAACTCGAGGTTGGATGACCTTGAAATGCTGCTCGAAGGTGGCGAAGGTTGTAAGAACCGTGAAATGCTGCTAAAAGATGGCAAAACGCGAACTCGTGGTTGCAAGAACCTTAAGGTCAAAAACGGAACGGTGAAATTTTTTACATTATCAACTTTTGATAAACACGATAAGATGCAACTTTTGGCAAAGTTTAAAAAAATTCTGTAGGTAGGGTTCAGCTTCAATTTTCGAAAATTTAAGGTGGCTCTGAACCCTACCAACAGAATTTTTTTAAACTTTGCCAAAAGTTGCGCCTTATCATGTTTATCAAAAGTTGATGTTAAATATAAAAAAAATTCACCGTGCCGTTTTTGAATTATAAGCCCCTAAAGCTGTAATTAAGGGTGGTTTTAGGAGGTCATACTGTTACTATGGTAACCTATTGTGTCACGAAAATGATAACAACGTGTTCACCAGTGATTGGGCAGGTTTTTGATACCATGATTGTAGCATCAAGCGAAAAAGAGTGGTTATAACGACCCATCAAAATCCAAGTTTTTGAAACTGTTTTGAGCCACCTTAAAGCTGTTAGAAGATGGCGAAACTTGAGCTTGATAAAATATTGTCTGAGACCATCATGCGCCTAGTTTCATCAGATCGGGAACGCTTTGCATACTACCAACACATTTCTTACTTTTTTGAAATTCCTTGTATGTTCTACACTCAGGGAATCCTAGGGTGCCTCCTCGGGTTTTGGCCTCTGGGCCAAAACCCTGTGGGGGCAAAAATTATGTGAATATCCTCACTTAAGCTACGGACCACATGGATTACATGTGTGAATGTAAACACCAAGTATGTAGCCTGAGCTGTCAGTACTCACCAATTTGATTTTATTCAAAAAGTCTATATTCTAAATATGGCTTTTTTATGTCTTAAGGAATTAGATATACATGTAAGTAACTCCTTACTCCAACAAAACCATGCAATGTGATAAAATCAATACATGTACACTACATGCTGAAAAAATATTTTAAGGGCACCAGCACAAACACCAAAAAAGAATGCATTTGCATTACTCATGACAAGTGGGTGTTGGTGAGAAGTTATTAACAACTAATCATTGCAGCATGTGAAAATCCAGTTACCTTCCACTTTCATCACGCATGTTGGAGGCTACAAAGAAAATATAATGGCCTTGTAAGTGACACTGAAAAAGAGACATGCCTATAGCTTGTAGAACTTCTGGCTGGCTTCTTAATGTTGGTTTTTGACCTATTCGCATGCACATTCAGCATGAAGTCACTCAAGGTGTTGAGTAGCAAAGACTCTAAATTGTATTTAACAAATAAAGAAGCCTAAGCCATGTATTACACTGTGATAAAACACAATGGGTATTTGAGAACACGAGGGAAATGTAGAAGACACGAGCCACAGGGGAGTGTTTTCTACATTTCTTGAGTGTTCTCAAATGTCCGGAGTGTTTTATCACAGTTTAATACGTGGCTTAGGCTTCTTAATTTGCTTTATGATATAGCGGTAATGTGGCGAAAAACAGTAAAACACTCTATTTTTATGTTTTATACTCTGATAAAACATGGGTTTTAGACCAATCAGAGCACGTGCAGGGTCCTACAGTGGATCTATATTATAATGCTAGATAATACAGTGCTTTCATTGAAAAGTCTTGTTCATTTGTGATAAAATATGAAGCACAAATAACCCAAAAATGTTTTCCCAGCACTTGAAGCACAGTCAAGTCTCTTGAATGCTTTCAGCCCAGTTGCTGTGATGACATCACTTGCAGTCAGGCTGCACATTGCATGCACGGTTGTGAACGTAAAATTTACAAGTTTAAATGTCTGTAGAAACACAGAGATTTCTCAATCAACATAATCTTTTCTCTGAAGTACAGTATTTGGAAAACTATAGCTGTAATAGATTTTATTACAGGGAAAAAATATTTTGGGTTAGTGGCAGTCAAGTATTATATAGAATTATTACTTTCACAGTAAATTTAAACATGCTCACATGACATGAATCTTCTTTGCACAGTTCCTGATGATCTCTTACTTGGAATTTACAAAAAATCCAAATAACACTCACTTCCCTTTCTTTTGTCTTTGCATAGAGAGTTCTGTGTGTCTCCTCTGATATGTTGAGGGCCTGCCAAAACATTCAAAAATGATAAGTAAAAAATTAGCTTTTAAGTTACTAAAACTTTTGGGGCCAAACATCTGGCCTCACAAAGAAAATATGGTCATAAGCAGTCACCTTTATTTTTTTTTTTTTAGTTTTAAGGGCAGTAATTATGTATTGAATATCCCTAAAAAACATAGGCAAAGTGAGCTTTGAACAGTTAACTGTTAAGCATTATGTACATGTAAGTCGACAGTTGTGTAAAAACTAAATGTACTAACACTGAACACAATGCTCACCTCCTGAGCGTACACAAATAAATCTCCTGGGGAGAGGTCCACTGTCTTGTCTTGTGCTCCAAGCTGGTGTATCACAGTGTATAGCAGTTCACAATACAGTGCAGCCCGCTAAAACAAGACAAAAGAATGCTTGAATTAAAACAAAGTCCATGCCTGTAAAGGGAGCCTACAATGAAGAAGTGGAGGAGGGGTGGGTAGGATTCAGGGTCTGTAAATTAAACATAGTAAGAACGATATGTGCAGGGGTTTCATTAAGGGCTGGGCACCAGGCAAATTGACCGGCTACGAGGACAATTTTGCCCTGCTGGTTTGACCATCTAGCAGAACATTTTTCTTACAAAGAAGTTCAGTTCTAATAGTTTTGCCCACCTATTAAAACCAGTCACCCTCCTGCAGGAAACTTTAATGAAACGCCTGATGATATACAATGTAGCCAATATGACCTGCCGAAATACATGTACCTGTTTGTCATTCAATGTTGGTTCAGTTTCAACTGATGACAACACCTCTGCATCACATCCTTCATCTTCTTCTCTATGGTTTAAGTTTTCGTCAATGACAACATCCTAAAAGACGGGACCTTATGAGCATTTTAAACCCTTTTAATTCTTCATATACCCGAGAATAAACAACTAATAATACCAAGTATTCTTGATTCTCAATTTCAGTAACACTGAATAACATAGATGATCACAGAATCACAAGACAAAAATGCATGATCAAAATGAGAGTTAATAAAAAAATTGTTTAAAAACAATTATAAAACAATAGTTTAAATCACAGAGGAATAGAAGTTCAGTGGAACCCAATAATCTGGTCACCATCGGGCCACAAAAATCTGGCCATATTAACAGGGTGGCTGAATTAAAGGGGTTCTTTAAACAAGTGAATGACTGAGAGCTTTTTTGCAGGCCAGAATAAAGTAGCTGTAATAGCAAGGTGGCACTATTAACGGGGTAGCCATAAGGCAGGTTTCCAATCTAGCAATAAATGTTCTTTCAGAAAAAGAGCTTTGCAGAACTGGAGTCGGCCTTTGTGTTTAAACTTGGATAATGTTCTTTTATGAGTAGCATTGCATACATGTATACAAGGATGTACAAAAAATGTTGTAATATTCCTAGAAGCCACTAACAAGTAACTTGTCTAAGCAACACAAAATTGTGCTCAAAACACATGCTTGAACCAACATGCACACACGCTAGCTTTGTCATGTGACCATTGTTTATAATCCTGGATGTCCACAACACACCACAAATGTTATCCAAGTTTACACACACAGCCAGTCACAATGATAATCAATAAATAAATACATTTATTACATG